TTGAGGGGGTTGTGGAAAAATATGAAATCCGCCATTTTGTACCGGCGGCCATCTTAGATTTACAATGTTATTGATATTACTATATTGTATTGTCATCGGAACTAAAGGTGTGTACCAAATTTCAGATTAATCTGATAACATGAAGGTACTTAAATTTCAATTTCTAATTTTGACCCAAATAAACAAACAAATAAATAAATACCGTACGGGTCGAGCTAAATAAAACCGTTTAAAAACAAAACTTAAGACTTATAAAAAACACACATAAATACACTTAAATAAGGAAAAAACTAGAATAACACACGAGAACATAAAAATATAAAATATATGTTTCGAAAATCATTGTTCAGTTTAAGTAGGAACTAACTCAAAAGTCCCACTACATTACAATTACTACAAACAATAAACATGCTCACTAAAAAGTGAGATATAGTCTGTCCAACGAGAAGATCCTTGACAGTGATAGATGTGTCTGTCAATTTAATTTCAAAGTAGTTTATTTTATTTTACAAAGAAATAAGTTGGTACAACTGGAACGCATTTAAAATTTGACTGACAATTGATTACTTCAAAATATTGTGAAAGAAACTGTATAAAACTGAAAAAATGTAATCGAGTTATTTTATTTAATAAAAAACGGTATGTGTTAATACAAAACAAACAAGCACAAGACAGCACATACCAAAAAATATAAAAAAGAACTGTTTCTTACTTTCAAGCTTTATGAAACTTCCCGCGTTTATGATTATATTTATTAATATAACTTATGTACAAATACAAATTTGTAATATTCCACAGGAATAAATAAAACAACATAAATAAAACAAACTATTTTATTAATAATAACACTTTTATTAATCGTAACACCAAATTTTATACCTTAAAGGTATACCTTAAATACCTTCAGATTAATTAACTTTAATCCTTTTTTTTTTTAAACCAGTACCTTTTGACATTATTTTTCTGCAGTACTAAAATCCATTATTTACTTATCGTGTGATGTCGATATTTTACAGCTACTCCAGTTTTTAATATGTGTTTATTATGGTTCTTCTACCATATTCGAGATGCACTTATCTACGACGAGATGGAATACGAACTTTATTGATGGTAACTTTATTGGTGAATAAGACTTTCTGCCTGAGCAGCGAGTATTAATCATAAACTGTGCTCTGGGTCTACAGTTAATTTTCCCTCGATTTTTCCTCCACTTCACTTCAAAAGACACAAAACACACGTAATAACACGAATCAAAATACATTATCTTCCAAAACGCAGATATTTGACATAAGTTGACACAAAATTATAACCTATAATTTGACAAGACTTTAACAAGCATCAAAAATCTAAAGGCGAGTTCACACTAAGGTTCACACGCATCGGCGTCCGTTTGTCGTTCATCGTTCCGTCAAACCAATAAAATTGAAATACGATCTGTCATTTTTAAAATAAACCAATAAAACTGGTTAAAAACAACAAGAGACGACGCATGACGGATTTATATTTAAACCCATCCATAGTTAACTTAAAAATTATTAGAAACTTTTTAGTAAAATAAATAGATTGGTATGGGACGTCATCTGCTTTTCTTCTGTCTAAGGGAAATATACATTGAATGCCATAAGGCCTGTAAATTTTGGAAATTGATATGTCTCAATTAATAATTAATGTTAATAATTAATGTTAATTCATAAGGAAACTCCAGATAGAACAACGATCTATGGAGCGATGTATGCTTGAAATAGGATAGAGCGGATAATAAGGATAGAGCGGATAATACAGATGACTCGGATGTAATCTACATGTGTAAACTCCTCAAATGGTAATGAGCAAGTCATCTGGCGAGAAGGACTAACGAAATATGAACAACTAAAATAACAGTAATTCCGAGATTTTTAGTATTGAAAATACTTCTGGCCGCGTTAATATGGGACCCGTCTTCGAAAAAACGACATGCTACAGGCGACATGGTACGCGAGTTCAATAACCTGCCTAATCAATTTGTCAACACGTAAGTCGATAGTTTAGCCGGCGTTGATCATTGAATAGAGCAAGGACGTTCGAGGGCCGAAATGAGGTCTTATCAGTGTGTGTGAGCCAACTATTTTATGGATATGGATGTTTAGACTGGGCCGGCGCGCGGCGGATAAAGAAAGCTTGTAAAATTATACATTTCCGGACACATGTTTATATGAACTTTTTACCTTAAAAACACTCAAAGAATCACCTCCTGAAGTTTGGCCAGATACTTATTAACACCCTGTATTTAAAAATGGCTAGCTAGTGATTTAGTAAGCTATGTTTATTTTAATAGGAAAAATTCATTTCATACAAAAAATAAACAAACCCATAATACAAATACTATACACCAATTAATTAATTTTAAATGTATCTAAATAGGCACTTTAATAATTGAAAAATGGACAGGAGCACTTAAAATTACTTCATAGAGTATACCAAATATGCTAAAAATAATAATTCCAATAAAAAATACAAATGGCATATTAAAATCTGCATTATCTGAAATCAAATTATAGCTAAACGGCTAATAAAATAATAGAGACAAGACACCGACATCTATAACGCGATGAGCAGTTTTTAATAATTATTCCGAGTTATTATTACATACTTGTTTTACAATAATTATTGTAATACAGTAGCAGTTCTTCAAATAAATTTTGATTTAAGTATTGTTAATATAGTCATATTAATGATTATAGCCCGTATGATTTCTAAAATAAATAATCAAGCTTGTTTTTATCAGAATTATTAAACGATTAAGTAGAAATAGTTAATATTTAGTAACTTCGTAAGTGTTATGTTTTAATATAATTATGGATTTAATAATTAAATAATTATCTAAAGTTTAAATTGTGGTAAACTTGTATTAGTTTCAATCACTTATATTTAAAATCTTACGGAAGGCAATATAGATTTTAGGCAGGAGAGCTCAAGGGAAGTATCTCAAAAACCAAAGATTTTAAACATATTTAACTCTTATAATAAATACCTTTTTTAAATAATTATCTTAAGTTTAAATTGTGGTAAACTTGTATTAGTTTCAATCACTTATATTTAAAATCTTAGGGAAGGCAATATAGATTTTAGGCAGGAGAGCTCAAGGGAAGTCTCTTAAAAACCAAAGATTTTAAACATATTTAACCCTTACAATAAATACCTTTTTTTGAGCTCAAGAATCCAAAAATTAAATAATATACCGGGTGTTCCATAAGAAAAAATACAACTTTGGTATTGATCTTAGAAACACCCTGTACACTTCAAAATAATTTTAAATTGTGCACATTGCCTCCCCACATATACCTATAAAATATTTTGTTTCTACATCTTTCCGTTTTCGTATAATCAACCGAGGCGACTGAGGTGCGCCACCCTGTATTAATTGCAAGGTATTCAAAGAAATATTTTTGTTAACTTTGCAAACATTTAAGGCATGCACTAATTTTAAAAAAATTTCACGTGAGATTACTTTATAATTCTTGGAAGTCTTGGATAATAAAGATTTGAATTATTATGAGTTAGGTTAGGTTAGGTTTTGTTATTGTTTTGTTTAAGAAGCTAACAAATAATTTCAAAAACTCAACTATCAAAATATAATGGTAGCAAATTTTTAAAATCATGCATAATATGTATAATATTCTATATTAATTGGACATACTAAATGTAAACTAGGTATAGAAGCTGCAATCGATAATATATTTTGTTGCTTTTTCATATCACACAACATTTTCATCATAACAAAAGACCGTCAATACCGCTACTCATATTATGGGCACCTATGTATACTTAAATCTCATAATAATGTTTAAAAATACATAGGCATACATACTATGAATAGTGGTTGTGATGGTTTTTTATTATGTATGATGAAAAGAAGCTGCAAACTAAATTATCGTGGAACTATATTTTAATTTATTTTTATCTACATTACTATTTTTATCTACTATTACTTATTTTTTGTACGGTGAATTTAAATTTATGGGCCATCCATAAATTTACACCGTAAGTTCGAATATTGGTTAAACCTAGGAATACCCAGGTAATTAGCCCGGAATATGCAAAAGAGTGAGTTTAGGCTAGATTAGAATTAGGTTTTAGTTGGTTAGGTTAGGCATTATATAAAAATATAGATCTAATTTAAACTTAACCTAAACTGACCTTTTTTGTATATTTCAGGCTCCTACGTGGGTAAGCCTACGTTTAACCAATATTCGGGCTTTTATGGTAACATAAATAATAAGTAATCTGGCCCCATAACGAAACTGTGGGTTCCAGGTGCTATTGCAAATTAATGCCATTAATTCTATATATAGATGTTACGGTTAAAGTCCGATGTTTATTATATTATGTGTTATTCTCGAGAGTAACCGGGTAATGTTGACATTAACCGGACATCGGACCTTAACCGTAACATATACATACCTCACATTTCTATAGTGTCGTGACCATGATCGGGACCGTTCATGAATTCGCACACGTTCATCTCCATCATTAATATTTTCCTTACTAAATTCTTCACTTGTATAAAAGCCATCACGATAAAAATCAAATAGCAAAATTATTTAACGTTGCGAACGGTTCACTTGTTCACTATACGTATCTGTAATATATTTGCGAATGGCAATTGGCGATACGTTAGACTGCCACATGCCGGAGTGCTGATGTCACGAATGTCAAATTGCTTTCCAAACAAGGTTTAGTTCTTTTATATTTCTATTGAGCTCTTCCAAATGACGTCACAAGTTAATATAAAATGTAAAAAAAACAGGTGATTGCCGACCACCGCCGACTTTTGTGTCTGGTATTTTCAATACGTCTATGATGGTTGCGCATGTTGCAAAATCTGTGAATTTTTTAAACAAAAATCTGGATTTCTCAATTTACTTATTTTATATTAACAAACGATAAATGTTTCAACCTTTACACGACCTGATTTATTAGTGGCTTTTTGATATTTCAAAAATATATTTATTATAAAACAGATGCCGCATTTCATCAAAGCATGTATTTATCGAACGAACATTAAGATGATCTACCATCTGTTTGGGAGTGTTGAAGTGATGAAACAACTGACTGCGCGCAAGCAACTGATGATTATCCCGCGCCATCTCCACCATACCACTGTTTCATGTATGATTCGCTGTACCAACAAGCTAATGCGTCATACTGCCAACATGAGCAAGTTAAGACAAGGTAAATTTTATTATTTTGTATGTATATATGTTACAGTGAAAGTCGGAAATTCAACGATTGTTAACATTCACTAGGAAATGCTAGAAATTACGCACTGGACCAGTGTATTCACATACTATATTTAGTATGTACACATTTACTAGTAAAAGTAACATTTACTAAAAGTTGCCAGTAAAAGTTATTCTATAGTACAGGACGAGTGTGGTGAGGAAGAAGTTAGAACAAATAAAACTTTTAAGAATAAGAAATAAGATCACCTCAATATTCAAGCTGATCCACATATTATCTTAAAATTACAGTTTACTTAATAAAGTTCTTCATCGTGGACAAAATAAAGTATGCCCGAATTTTCTTCAACGGGAATTATTCGTTTTTTTGAAACCCGCTACTTCAATGATATCAAAACGTTTAATAAGTTCATAGTCACTAGGTTCCTCAATATCTTTTTCTATTGCACGATTTACTTTTGCTATGACTTCATTATATGGCAAAAGTGAAAAATAAGCACTATTACAGTCTTGCGAGTGCCTAGTTTACGTTAATTTTTTGACAGAAAATTTCTTCCATAGGAAAAATATCGAACAGCACTATAACGATAACAATTACACGTAACCACAAAAAACAAAGTGAATTTACGCCAGGTGTCTGTTAACGTTGCCAACGTTTAGCCCAATTTAATGTTATCCCTATTATTCAACTTATCCTTATTTATCATTTTATTTTACAACATGTGGCAACCGCGCTAACTGAATCTTTCAAAATCACTGCTATCGTACAGGGATGCTAGCATCCACTAGTGAAAGTTGGTTTCAAAAATAACTGTTGAACTTTTACTGGCTTAGTCTTAGCAAATCAGTGAATGTGAGTCTTTACTAGTAATTGTTAACAATCACTGATTTCCAACTTTTACTGTAACATATATAATGAGCAGCAAATGTTTCGAATTAGTTTCAAAATCCTTTGTTGAAACTTTAGGTACTTGACCTACAATTACTTACAACCTACAAGTACTTTTTTTTTTGAGAGGGTAAAAAATCTTCTAAAGACCTTACCGACCTAGTGTTCTGGTGGTCGGCGTGTGTCGAATTCGAATTTCCTGGAGTTCGCCTACCGACTAAAAACTTCCCCTCCTCCGTTTCCTACACCTCTTATTACGGAACTGCGCTCGCGCATTACTTCATAATAAGGGTTGTCTAGTAATAAGGGTTATCTAGTATTAGTACTCGTCCCTAATCTTCTCTTCCAAGATATTTTTAACCACACCATATGCTCGGCTCCAGCCCTCAGGTGACTCCATTAACTCATCCATCGTGTTTTGGGCGTTGAAAGTTTTGCCGGTTTTATTTATAAAAGTTAATCGATAGTCTTCCCATCTCGGACACTCAAACATTGTATGGTCTCGATCGTCAGGCTGATTACAGTATTTGCACTTATCAGATTCTCTCCTGCGAAACTTAAATAAGTAGGCATTGAAACATCCGTGCCCGGTGAGTGCCTGCGTAAGAAAGTAGTCCGGTTCTCCATGGGTCCTCTCTGTCCATCTTCTCAGGTCCGGGATTAGTTTCCTCAACTGCTCTCCTTTTATTCCATTCTCCCATCTGATTTGCCATTGCCTCATAACCTCATTCTCTAACTCTAGACTTCCTTGTCCTACGTATCTCTTGGCTCTCTCTTTGATTTTTAGGTCAATCGGCGGGATGCCCGCCAATACTCCGGCCGCTAGTTCCGATACTGTCCTGTAAGCACTACAAATGCGCAGATTTACTTGCCTTTGCATTGAGGCGAATTTTTGCGTAAGCTTTCTGTTTTCGGTGACTGTGTGCCAGATTGGCGCACCGTAGAGCATCTGCGAATGTATGACCGATGCCAGTATTCTTCTCTTTGAGGCTCTGGGACCCCCGATATTCGGCATTATGCCGTTTAACGCGCTTAAAGTTTTTCCAGCCTTTTCCAAAGTTCTACTAGTATGCTCTGCAAAAGTAAGCTTTGAATTCGACTGTCGTCATCTTCCTTTGCCTGGTGAGGAGTATTGCTTCTGTCTTCTCAGGAGCCAATGTTAAGCCATTTGTCTGCATTCAGTTGACACCCTTATTAGAGCGGTGTTTGCTTTGTCCATCAGTATCTGTTCTTGTTTTGCCGTTACAACGACGGCAACATCATCAGCAAACCCGATCAGTTTGACATCATCGGGCATATCTGTTTCCAACAGACCATCGTACATTACATTCCACAGAGTAGGTCCCAGTACAGACCCTTGGGGCACACCGCTATTTATGGTCTGATCCAGTCACTCCTTCGGTCTCTATAATGATTTCCCTTTCTGACAGATATGAAGCTATCATGTTTATAAGAGCTTTATCCACGTCTCTTCTTAACAGTTGGTCGATTATTTTCTGCCAACTTGCACTATTAAATGCGTTTTTGACGTCCACTGTACGTCCAACCATTGACGTCCAACCTACAAGTACTTGACCTACAAGTACTGGACCTACAGTAATAACTGACATCATTATTCAAATTTCGTAATGGACTAAAGGTAGGTTCATAAACACTGGAATTGCGAATATCGCAAAATAAATCCGTCTTTTATTTGCGTGCTTCTTATAACAGTGAAATTCGCAATAAATTCTATAAATTCTAGGGATATTTGTGTTTTTAAACACATTCTCAAAATGTCACTTGAATGAAGAATTTTATTTTTGGTGCCGTGATGGCTTATATACATTATTTTTATACTACTAATTTTTGTGTAATGGATGCAGCTACTTATTTTTTGGCCTATAAGACGATTTATTGCTCTATATTTATTAATAAAAAATACAACAAAAATAAAATACACAGAACAATAGTTGGAACATTACATATATTTAGTGGGGTGGGATTGGTTTGGTTTGATTCGGTTTGGTTTGACTCTTTCATTTTCATCTGCTTGATTGATATTTTGGTTTAACAAATTGGCTAAATTACCGGCAGTGGTATAAACAATTGCTAGTTATAGGTCTAGCAATCAAAATACGCCCTAAACAACAACGCTTACGCGTGTTTTGATTCTTTGGTTTCACTCTTTTGTTGTTTGTTTTCGTTTTGTTTTGTTTAATGCGCATCTGTTTCTTTTTAATTTTAATATGAATTAGATCACACTGTAAGTAAATTCAATCACACTGTAAGTAAAAAAGTAAAGATTTCAGTTAACGTCTCCTTTTTGCTGCCAGGACTAATCTGGCCGGGGCCTACTTTGTTTACGCGGAATTCGAACCGCGGTCCCCGGCCATATCATGGTCAATGGCCTATCGACTTGGCAAGTGTCTAAATCGACTCTTACTCACGAGATATCCGATCTCATCCGGCCTCGAACCGGCGTGAATGAGCAGTGTGTGTCAATAGATTTTACACTTTTGCCTTTTTTTGGACAACAGCACGATACAGAGTTCACGCTGTAAGTGCAAGTAAAAAAGCACAAGAATATTTTTAATGTTACAAACTTTTGTTTTCTTATTTTAGCAAAAATTGCATTTTTCCTCAATTCAAGCTCTTCATTTTTGTCTAAACAACATTAGAATATTACTTCATTTTATAGAATATATTTGTTAATTTCCAAGGCCCTAAAGTGAAACGGATCCAAAATAGCACCAAAGATATAATAAAATATTTTAAAGTCTAGTGCATCTTTTGATTTAAAATTTTTATTAAAAATTGCTATTTTTTCAAAATAAAATAAAAACAAAAAAAGATAATTCAGTGGAACTGATAACATTGCTTTTCCTTCTGTCGCTGCCACGTTAAATCAAGGGTTAACATTCTCCATAACGTCAAATATGTGTCAAAAACTACTAAAATTAAATTAAAATATTTTGAAATTCCGTGCATAATCTCCTTTTTTTATTTAAAACTAGGTACTACTAAAAATGGTTACTTTTTGAAAAGAAAAATGCAAAAATCTTGTGTCAGGATAGTTCACCGGACCCTCCAACAACATTACAAGTTTGCAGTCAACATATTGAACTTCGTATCACAAATTAAAAAAAATGAAATTATATTGTAAAAAAGTAGTAATAATGATTATGTGCAATTTTTTCTTACCTTTTTTTTAGTTTATTCCATCTTAACCTATTATTAGATTATAAGCATAACAAGAAATAAATGTTAAAAGATGACATATTATAACCTAAAAACTTCAAAATTAGCAGCGAATTTCGAAAAAATTAAATCAGTGTTAATGTTGCCATCCCCAAATTTTAAATTATCTGAATTCGCAGAATATAACAACTTTCTGTCAATTTTCCCGCCTCTGTATTTTTTGAAATAGACCAATAACAGCAATATTCGCAATTCGCGTGTATATGCACCGATCTTAAGAGCTGGCGGCTGCGGAGGTACTATAATTAGCGATGGGAACTATCGAATGAATTAGACTATCGAATGGTTAATGAATGAATAATTTCAACTATCGAATGGTTTTATTCGAATAAAATCATTCATTCATTTGTATACTAAAGCACATGTGACAACCTCGCCGTGCGACTAAATGGTCATCGTTGAGCCACGACTATCGAATGCTTTTGATAAATGAAATTTAGTATTCGTTTGATTTTTGTATGCATCAGTGCATTATTAGTTCTTCCAAATTTTTATAACTTCGCCGTATAAATACTGTACTATTTTTGCGTTTATTAAAATAGTTAAAATACTAAAATAGTAGTTATTTTTTAATTTTATTTATTGACGATTGTGTGCATGTGCAGGTGGTCAAAATTTTTCCGAAAATTTGTGTGGTGTTCCGTAGTCTGATCTTTCAATTATTTAATTTTATATGGTATATGGTTTGGTTTGGTGAACTTACAATTAATTTTAAAAATACATATTTGTATTTTAGATGTTTTAATAATATGAATTAGTTGGAACTTAATAATCATATTTAAGTAATGTGGTTAAGTAAATGGTTATCGAACTCAAACTATGGGGTGGTGAGAAAATTAAAATGAAAGTTTTACACGTGCCAA